CACACACACACACACACACACACACACACACACACACACACACACACGCACACACACGAGAGAGTCACATAGCCTCCCAGGTTGTGTTTATCCACTGTTGTTGAGGGCCCACTGCATTAACTAGCTCCCTGGCACTCTACTAATTGCAGAGATGGAACCTAGCCTTACTATATTATTGCATGAAGTTTCTCTTTTAGCACACAGTAAGATTTAATTGCAAAAAATTATTCTGGATCTTAAAACTGAACATTTCTTGAAGTTCTTATTTCTCGGCATTGTATCAAAAATGTTTAGCATATTAAAGAAGTCTCATACCAAGTACTAACATGAGGGTTTTATCTTACCACATGATTCTCTAATATGTCACATGTCAAGTAATAAACACATTCAAAATTTCATTTAAAAAAGGAAGATGGGAATGCAATCTGCAAATGATCTTTTTCTCCTGAAAAGCAGCCAACTGTGAATAGCAAACACATGCTCTCCTTTTTAAAGCATGCTATCATTGTGACTAAGCAAACAAGTAGCGTGTGTAGTTTCTGATTAACATTAATTTCAGCAATGATGAATAAGAGTGTAATGAGAGAAGCAAGCTGGAGAGTCTGGGATAACGGTGATATCTGCAGTTTCGCTATGATTCTGAAAGTGTATTTAAAAATAAATTCTATCAGAGGATTCTGATGTTTTACTTATGGCAGCATATACAAGGTGGACGTTAGGCTTAGGTGTCACTGTTTTTTGACATTGTTTTGATGCTCATTATAGCCATTTACATATAGAACTCATTTAAAATTTATGTGTAAGCAGCCCAATGAAGTGTGCTTTCACTGTGATGCTGAAAAAATGTAGCACAAGTCCAAAACATTAAAAACAAAACAAAATAAGACAAAGCCCTCAAAACCTTCAAAGTCAGATTTACATTCTTAGATCATCTTCTACTATGGAAAAAATTTTATGGTGATTAAGTAAATATGAGAAAAATATGCTTTGTCAAAATTCCATTTATGCATCATTCCCAGATAAGTCTGTTTCTATTCCAGGAAAATGTGTCCAGTAAATTCTCAAGTTGGAGAGAAGTAGAAATTTAGAAGTAATGGCCAAATGATACTTAGCATTTTGTATTTAACTACATTAAATTATTTATAGTTACAAGATATTCGAGATAGGTATAAGTCAATCAACATCTCTGCATGTATGACAGGTTCATTATTTTATGGATGCTTCCTTTTCACACAGATGATTTTCCAATGCAATTAAAATCAGGGAGGGTGATGTACTGGGGGGAAATCAAGTTTTAGAGTTGAAAGAATTGGGTCCAGTTGCACATGGTTACCCTAGCCATGCTGTGACTGCACAAGTCTGGTGCCTGTCTCAGTTGCTTCCCTTATAAAACACAGGGGTATCATAGCTTTTTCACCTAGTAGGGCGTTGTACAATCTGTATGGACACCTGAAATTTTAAACATATGATTATAAAACATAGAGACATCAATGTAAATATACACACAGTTCCTTAGAGATAGAAATATAAACCAGGAGGTGTAATAGATTCTTAGGTCAAGTTAATTAAAGTCAATTAGAAAGGGTCTGGTACAAAATGGTCTAGATGGAAGTCTTACGCACTTGCACATAAATATGTCTGGCTAGGGTCCCCTGCCAGAGGGTCCTGAATACTTAACTGGAATCCTACTGTTGCTAATCCTTAACAAACAGACAAAAAAACCAAACCAAACCAAAACAAAATGAAGCAATTGAAATACTTCTTCACACTCTCTGTAAGAACTAAAAAGTTTAAATGTATATTAATTTGCAAAACATTCAATTAAAAGATTAAAGATATATTTATAGCAATTTTCTGAGGTTTCAGTATATTATCAATATGAACAATGGTTGAATATCAGATAAAACATATTTAAACATGTTAACTCTGCTTCTATGTTATGAAATATACTAAAAACTAAAAGTGAAGTAGTTCTTCAAAACTCATCTTGAGCTGAGGTGCCCGAGCTTCTCTTTATAAGGAACATAGATAATTGCAAGATAACCTTTGCAGACCACATCTGTTATCTTCTGAAAGCCCAGTAGAAAAGACTGAAGCTCCAAGAACTTCTTCAGGCCTTTAGATGACATCACTCTTCAAGAGTACATAATGTCTGTGAAAGGCAGGCTACCCTTGTTTTATCCTCCTTGTCTGTAACCTGAGCACCTAGACTCTGACACTCCATGGTGCTGTGAGGATTTATAGGAATGGATGCAGACCGTCCCACATGGCATCTGCCCACCTCCAGTCAACAAGAGACATTGCCTGTAACCCACAAAAAACAACCTGGTTCTCCAAGAGATGACAGACTACAGCTCAGGTTAAAAACCAGTGACTAATGCCTTTAAAAAGCTTATTTTTCTTGTCATGATCTGTTGCTAGTTTTAAAATCAATATTCGATATTTAACAATAATTCTTTGATTAAAAAGAACTCAAACAAGAACGAAACACATAGAATTGTGATTTACCTGTTATAAAGTTTATCATAGTTTTCCTTTAAAAGTTCTCGCTCCTTTTCTAAATCATTAATTCTATCCTGCAGCTAAAATGAAAATAAAATTACAAAGAGTTTTCATGGTTCACAGTTAGCACTCTGGACTCTGAAAATAAATACATTAAGTGATTATCATATCAACCCACATGGTAAGAAAACCGGCAGAGGACGGAGACTCATTTCAGTCCTGACTCCTACCCTGCAGCTGCTGACTACAGCACACACAGAGCCTGCATTCAATTCAGTGTTGAGTTCTTCCATGTCATTAAATAAACACTAAATTAATATTCCCATTTTAATTTAGGAGAAACGCATGCACTATTTTATGACAACATGAGCCAGAACTCAATAAAGAATGTGTTAAGAGCTTTCTCTTAAGTCCCTGGAAACATAGTATTTTTTTACTTTCTACCATGATGAATTCCATCATTATATTCATTTTGTATTAATTTCCAATTGGCCCATAAAAATGAGTATTAACTATTATTTGAGTTCATGGTTCAAACAAGTTTGTTAATAACTATTTAATTTAAGGGCACATTTTCTCTTGTTACTTGGAATCTATAAATAGTAGCATATCTTAAGAATAACTAAAATTGTATTCTCTTAAGAATAACTAAAATTTTATTCCTTATTTTATCCTAGTGAATAAAATTTTCAGAATAAAATTTTAAGATAACATTGTAATTTAATTAGATCATTATGATTAAAATGTGAATTGTTATACTGTAATATTGAAGGGTTTACTAATAAATATATTCTGTAGTCACTTTTATTTTTTGCTACAGAACAGAGTACTTAAAATTCTTTATTTTCAACATTCTCTTTTGAATAAGTTTAACAGACTTTAGAAAAAATACTGTTCTAGTTGGGAGCTATAAATGGCAACAGTAATAGAAGGGTAAGTTTTCAAACAACCTCCCAGAAAAAGATAATTGTAAAAAATTGCTGGCATAGCAGAGCACAGCATCTCCCTTAGAAATCCATCATTCCTATAATTTTGTTCTTATGTCTCAATGATTAAGAAGCGTTGTGTTGAGGAATGCTTGCTCTTCAGGCCACGTGATATCACGTTACTTTTCGGTCTGCTCTAGGCTCTGTATCCCTAGATAAGCAGTGGCTCTCCGCATGTCTGCAGGTATTTTAACTGATGGATCAGTTTGCCATTCACATTCTGTACTAGCTACTCTATCCTGCTGCATTTGAAACACCAAACAACATAGTTCAGGATTGTGACATGAATCCAATGTTTGAACTGTTTCTCTTCTACTGTTCAAAACAGTTCTGGAGAGATTTTCATGCAGCCAATGACCGCACTCCCCTGGCGCTTACCTCCTCTACTCTCCTTTCTGAAAGCCTCGCCGAGTGCAGCTGTTTTTCAAGGCTGCAGCACTTCAGACGCTGCTCCTTAAGCTGCATGTTTAGCTCATCTCCATTGGCCATCAAGGCATCATGGCTGATTCTGAGTGTTCTTTGCTTCTATAAAACAAAGAGAAAAAAGTTTAAGCATTTTTAACATTGGACTCTGGAAAACTAATTACAAGTTTAACCATGGCTTCCCTGGACATTTACATCGCACAATTTATTCTTCAAGTCATAAACAATGTATGTGTGATACAAAGAAAGAGAAGGTCACTCAGCCTTCGCACAACACACACTGTCTCCCCTTTCATTTGCCCCTAGGTTTTGACTAGTTAACGTAACCAGTAAGTCAAATGGTTTCAGCAATTTCCCCTCTTTTACTATGGCTATAGTGGATGGACATGCTGTCAAAAATGTTTCAGCATGGGTCAAAACTTGCTGATCACAGACACGAGAATGAGAAGGATCTGCCATCAGAGCACAAACAACGTTGAGTGGTAAGCTTCTAGTTTTAATGCAAGTAAGTTTTTTAACTCTGCAAAAATAGTTATTCTGTAAAATATAATTCTGCAAAATAAACTCTTCTTAATTTTTAAAAAGTTTATATGTGAACATGCTTTATATTCAATTTCACATACTTAAATGCCATATGCATTTTAGAATAAATAACACTGGTAGTATTTAAAATAAGGTCTTTTGCAGATACCACTTGATTCTAACATGAAATGCCTCACCTGTGTAAGTCCTAGTGAAGGTTTTCTTCCTGCACCTAAAAGCCATCTGACCTTTAAGCCCAATTAGAGAACTTGAGATTCACTTTCCTCACTGCTGTATTATCATAGCATGCTACCATTAGTGTGTGTCCTTTGAGCCACTCATGTCATTGAGGCTGTTGGCCACACCCTCTTGAGCCTTGTCTCTACACTACTGTCTGAAACACGCACCTGCACTGTAGCAGACACTGGTTATTTTATTATCTGAACAAACACACCAAGGGTCACTGTTACACGGGAATCAAGATAGTCAAAGAAGTCAGAGAATCTAAAATCATTTTTCAATTCCTGTCTTAATTCTTCATTTTGAACTGCTTTCTCCTACATGTACTTTTCGTTGAGAGAGAAATAGACAGAGGCAACTAACACTCCCCTCACAAAACAGTTCCCTCTCCTATAAACTTTTGTTTCTATATGGAAGGTAGTTATATTTGGCATTAAAGGAGGTTCCTATAGGTTAGAAGACTTCACTCAAGGTATAGCTGAAAGGCATTTAACTATTTACTTCAATAGTGAAGCAGGCATTATATGACCTGGCGCTTTACAACAATGTACAGCTTGCCTTGTCTCTGTACTTCAAAGAAAGCATGGCTTAATATAAATTCTGATCATCTGGAATGTTTGGAGTTCATTAATTCCAGGACTTCTGTTAATTATGCAGTACCAATAAATAGTAGCCTGTGTTGGCACATCCTGTGTACCCACAGTCATGTGAAAACCATCCTGAGGAGAAAGCCTGAGCAGTCAGGCTGATCTGTCATGGCTCCAGATAAATAACTGACAGCTGACACTAGGGACACTCAAATATCTTCTGATAATGGTGGTGACCAAAGAAACACAAAACAAAACAAAACAAAACAAAACAAAACTAAACAAAATCCACATCAAAGAAAGATTTAACATGTAATTACTGAGCTCTTCGGAACTCTGGTCTTTATTGCACACATGTGAAAGTGAAGATCTGTGCCAGTGCAGAGACATCTTCAGTGCTGCAGGTTCATTATAAGCTCAAAAAAAAAGGGAGATGAAAAGGGATGTTCCTCATATGAGAGGACTTATGACAGATGCACTTATTGAAATGACTTAGATATTTATAAAAACTCAAGTGGCTTTTTAGTAACTTTTATGAATAATATACAAATAGAAGTTACATACATTAAATATAGCAAACATTAAAACTAAAATTTTAGCATTATGACCATTATTAAAAAATTGTTGAATCCTTTTCATTTGCAAATAGAATAATCACAGTACCTCTTGAAGCTGAATAAATTTTCCTTCTATGACTGAAAGAGCATTGCTTTTCTCCACTAGTTGTTTATGAAGCTTAATCATTTCTACATTGTCCCGAATATTTGACCTTCAAAGTTGTGTTTAAGAAAAAGAAAAAAAGTTAAAAATACAAGTTAAAAGGAAAACAAAAGCCATACACACACACTCACACGCACATACACACACCAACTATGGTTGATTTATTTGTATATATTCAAGTCATTTAAAATTTTCTATTACTGTAATTTATGACAGATTATTTAAGAACTAGCCAGTATCCATTCTGAAAGGTGCATAAATAGACCATCTGAGCTTCCAAACTCGACGGCAATGCTAGCTTCATCACACTGACAGAAAAGACTGACAGGCACTTTAGGATGTTTTGAAAGGCTACACAAACCCATCAGTTATCAGCCAGCAGCATCTACCAGCGAACTTTATGCTTCCTTAAAGGACTGCTCCGTTACTCTCCTGTAAGTGCAGGAGAGGCAGCGGCGTCAGTCACTCCCTGCCACGCCCTCAGCACACGAAGTATCACAGATTATCATTTATTGGAGTTTCCTCTTGGAGTTTCAACTTTTCAAAACATTTCCCAATAAGTGACTTAGCATTTTATACTAACAATGCCCAAAGCTGGCATTTAAATATGTTGCAGCTGTGCCTTTAGCTGTACGAGATTATTTGATGTCCACAGGGTATATAGAAACCTTATATGCTGCAATACTATTTCGTATTTTTCCTACTGAGATTAAAGCAAATGTAGAATTTAACAGGAAGATCTTGTTAAAGGTTAATCATAGATCTAAATGAATACCTGTTCTCCGAAGGCATTTATTTTCTTGACAGAAAAAAGTTTCCTTAATTTAATGCCTCATTTAAACTTTTTTAAAACTGTGAGGCATTGATTTTAAGACTTCACTTTAAAAAATATAAAGTTAAAAATTTCAAATTCAGAAAATTATTTCAGCATTTAAGCTAAGTAATTTTACTTCTAAGGCTTACCTAGTATTCACATATTGGAAACATTGTCACAGGGCCCAGTGGAACCAGCAAATGCACTACAAAGCTCACACATCTGTAAACCAGCTGAGGACTTGAATTACTCCATTTTCCTCTTTGATATTTGAAAGTTCATTGTATTTTGGCATTGCACAGTTAGTTGTCCTCACACAGAAGATAAACAAGTCCAAGAACTTGGATCTTTCCCAGGGCACAGTCTTAACACAATGTTAAAATAATTATGTGTCTAAAGCAAGTTATCTAGCAGTTCTGAGCAAAGAAAACAGTGTGCTTATCACTATTTTCCTTGTTGTTACATTTTCATTAAAACATGAAGAAAAATGTATTTTAACTAAAGTATAAAGAAAAGATTCAAAACAATTTTCATTCAAAATATTAAAAAAATTGAAATCAAAATACAATTTACTTATTTTTCCCAGAATTAGTTGGTTTAATCACTCAATAATGTATAGCATTTACTGATACAGAAGGACAGAATGTGACTCAAAAATATATGTATGTCTGTGTACCAGGTGTGTGCCTATTGCCCCCCAGAGGGCAGAGGGCATTGGATATCCTGAGACTGGAGTTACAGATGGTTATGAGCTGCAGTATAGGTCCTGGGACTGGAACCCAGGTCCTCCAGGAAAGCAGCCAGAGCCATCTCTCCAGAGCCTTTCTCAGTTTTTTGCTCTTTTTACTGGGGGAAGGAGGGAGCTAAGGATCAAATCCAGTCAGTTACTCTGATATTTTGTTTTAAAATAAAATTTCCAAGAAGAATCAAATACATTGTAAAATGAATGTCAATAACAAGCAATTACATCTCAGCAGTCAGTTCCTTGTTAGAGCATCCCAAAACGTGATGCTGAATACTCTTTATGGCAAAGGAGAGCAAGTGTTTTAAACATTGTAATGTTTAGACTGGTGGAGTTATACTGAGCATTTCACTGACTGCCTTGGGGTATGGACTTTCTAAAAGATTGGTAAGAAAAGAGGCAAAGCATTTTATCCTAATGCTGCCCAGCACTAGGCATGAACACAACTGTATTTGGAAACAGCAATGATAAAGCACTTGGTCAGTTTATCACAGAGCACAGATACTCTGGATAAGGCAAAACCTCCACGTCTATGTAAGGGCTTGGCAGGTAATAGGTATTCTTATTACAATGTCTATATAGTTTTTGAGGACATAATCTGAAGATGATAATTTGTCACATACAAGTGTTGGTCAGAGATACAAAGTATGCCCACATTAAAATCAGCCATAGGATACTGGTGGCCTGGTGGTCATGATGTACAACTGAGTCACCTGAGACTGGGATGAGCAACTTGACATTTTCACATGGATGAATTCTAGGAAAAGAAGGGTGGAGGTGATAGGAAGGGGGAGAGATGTCACAAAAGACTGATGAGGATGCTGGAAGTGAGTGAGCAACAGGCATCACTATGCAGCCAGTTGAAGACCGAGATGCCTATGGAACAAAACCTCAGGTTGGCTTCCTTTGAGAAAGTGGTAGAGGAGGAATGTATCAGCAATATGTTCAGAGATGTCCTCATAAGAGCACTGTCTGTCTCTTTACACACACAGGAACAAATCTTCAGGAGAGTGATGTTCTAACAGAGAGAATGCTGATGTTCTAACCGAGAGAAGGATGCACAGCACCACTCAGATGGACTCTGACAGTTGGACAACAATTTATATGAGCTGCATTACACATGGAAAGATAACCTGCACATATCAAGTGTTATAATTAAATGCTTTGTAAACATATTTTTCAAAATTTAAACAAAGATTTTGAAAAATGATGAAAAAGTTAAGCTGGAGAACACAGTGACTTTATTTTCTTTTTGGCTTTCTCTTTTTATAGACATGATTTAGAATTGTGATAGGATCTTCTGAAACTATGAGAAAAGTTGTTGGCTCCTCTCTAGATTAAAAAAAAGCTGAAATAAATTAGACTTTATGTTGAAAAAAGCAACCCAGCTCAACAACCTGTGTGCCAACTTTCTCCTCTATAATTTGAAACAGTCAAGCAATAAACTCTGAAAAACAATTCGAGTGGCAGTCTTGAGAACACGTGACTTCAGCTTTGCTACTGGGCGCCATAATAAATCCAGAAACTTGAAACCCCAGATACACTGGAGAAAGGAAACTTTCAGTGGGGTATGTAATGTATAGTCTAATATGAAAGCATAAGGAGCAGAAATCTTTGCTACAGTTGAGGTCTCATATACTGCGCTGCCTAGACGCTTGCCTCCCCTCTTCTCCCACAACATTTCATTCCTTGCTACAGTAAGGATTATGAACAGCATACTACAGAGGATGGGGAGAGACCCTGTTACACAGAAGCTGTGCTGGGATATTCTGGGAAGCAATGAGGTCACATGTTTATGAGACAGAATGGAAAGATCACTGTGAATAATAGTTTTATGCCAGCTGAGTCCAAGGGATAAGGCTAAAAAGAATCTTAGAGTTAAGATCATTTTAATATTCTTTTTGAACAGTTGTAGAAACTTAATTATCATATTGTTGAAAGAAATGTGGATCACCAATAAGTGAAAAAACAAACAAACAGAACACTAGCGAGGATGTTTTCAAGAGGACTAGAGATGCCTCTAGTAAACCAAGCAGACTGACTTTCCCTAAAATTGTCCAGAATAGATGTGCAGGGTAATGGTTTTGTTTAAAATCACTCCTTGCGATTATGGGTGCAGATGGCTCTCCAATTTAAGACTGCATAAAGGAGCACGTGTCTATGTAAGTTTAATTTGCTAATACAGCATAATTCTCCTGGTGTTGGGGCAAAGCACAAGCCACAGCTTCAGTACTTTCTTACTGTCACTATCCACAAGAATGGAGGGGACAGCTGACAGACTTTCTGTATGCTCATTCTTACACTGATATGAAGAGAACCGGCATGCCCAAGTGCTGGCCTGGGGCAAGAGCTGCCCAAATCTTGGCTTACCTTCTAAAGATGGCCATGTTTAGGATCAAATTTAATGGACTTCAATTGGAAGTTTATTGTAACAACCATGGGAATCTGAGACTTTTTAGTATTTCCAAAAGCTCAGTGGCAAATGTGCTTTTTACTGGCTATTAACCTTGCAAAAGTGAACTGAAGGGTTTTTATTTTTTAAATTCTACTTTATACAATTACTTCAATCCAGTGCAAGAAGAGGTTATTTCACAATTATCTGAAAGAATAAATGGAATGATAGTAGTTCTAATGATTATAAAATGAAATAAAAAATCAAAAGTTAGGAAAATTATTGGGTAGGCAAATCTTTCAGATATACAAGGTCTTGGGAGTACATGACTTATTTACAGAGTAGAAAACTATTTACCCATTTCTTACTCATTTACAAGAGAAATAAAGAATTTGGACAAAGTGTTTAAGTGATTGAGTCAACACTCAAATCTAGTTTTAATAGCCAAAATTTTCTCCCTCTTTTAAAAATAGTCCTTCCTAAGTTTTCACTTTCCATGTACTGTGACATATTCGCTAATTCACTAGCTATAGGTCCAGCAATATACATGAGCATTGGAAAAATGTGTTAAGCTGCTATCTAGAAAAGTCTTAGTATTAATAAAAAAGAAAGAAAGAAAGAAAGGAAAGGAAAGGAAGAAAGAAAGGAAGAAAGAAAGAAAGAAAGAAAGAAAGAAAGAAAGAAAGAAAGGCCCCAGAGACAAAAGAATATTATACTTAGGTATAATATTTGTGGATGGAAAAATTCTAAGTTATTAAAAAAACAATAGGGGAACCTGGAGGTATTTTAAAAATGACAGATCATCCCCGACATAATAATGTTTGCATGGATATCCCAGGCCCCTGTCATTCTTCCATCAGAGAACCAGATGTGCCCTCTTAATTAGGGGAGCGGGCAATCAGGCAAATCCAAATTGAGGGGTATTCTGCAAACAGCTGTCACTGGACTGGGAAAGTGCAGGAACCATTCTAAAATAAAGGGAACTTAAAAGACGTGGCAATGAATACCCAGTCCTCCGTTACACCCTAGATGAAAACAAAATACTACTGACAAAACAAAGCTCTAAAGGACATCAGAATAACTTGCATACAGACTTGGGCTGAATATTAAATGATGCTACTGGGTTGTTCATTAAAGGTTCTGAAGAACTATTATGTAGGAGGATATTCCAACACTTTAACATCTCCTAAGTGTACGGCAGATGATATAACAAAAGCACCTCTCAAACAGGAAAGGGAGGGATGGATGGGAGAGGGATGTAAGAGAGGAGGAAGAGTGGGTTGAAGGAGAGGATGGAGGCTGGTAAAGAAGGAACTAGAGAAGGAATTGGGGAGGAAAGAGAAGGGAGGAAGAGAGAAGAGAGAAAGAGGAGGGATCCAGAGCAGAAGGGTTTGTGCAGTAGCAAACCCCGGAAACAGGCTCCTATACCACACTCAGATAAGGTCAAGGTAGAAGACACGGGTGCTCATCCGACTACTCTGTTTTTCAGTAGGTTTACTGCCTTTCCAAGTGAAATGTTGAGGAGAATTTAGAGTGCTAGGAAGTAATATTGTCTGTGCAAAAGGGAAGAGAGAAGCCCAGAGGCCAAGCTGTTTCTTATGCACGGCTGCAAAGAATCTCTTAGTTTTAGGATTTGACAGTCTGCTGTCTGCCAAAGGGAACAGGGCAAGTCAGAGAGTCTGAAACATATATGGCTTACATTTCCTCCCTTGGGACATAATGGTATTTACATGATTTTTAATTAAGAAGATAAATGGTACCCTAATATTTATTTTTAAAGAAAGTATAAACTAGTTACACATTTGCTAAGGGTATATTTTTGGAGTTGAAAAAAGTAAATAAAAGGTAAAACTGTTTTGATTTTAATGTTCATGTACATGTGTTCACTGGTTACTGCTTTGCATTTAATTTAAGACAGCCTTTTTAATAAGCAGAAAATGTGCATTTTTATATTGTTTAAATTTTAATATGGATTTTTGTTCAAAACAACAGACATTCAGGCTACTTGTAAATGATACAAGATTTTTTGCTAATGAGGCATTATGTAGAACATATGCAAAAATCACAACTCAGTCTTCCAAAATAGACCACAACAACAGGAAAAACATGACTTTAATAAAAAGAGCAGCGCTGGGATTTAACTTCAAAGCAATTAAGGGCTTTGGATAACCGAAAGTTTATGTCAGGCTGATGCCAAACCAAACTGGGCTATTAAACACACACTATGGAGGGTTTCTGTACTGGGCTATGAAAGGCTCTTTGCCATAAATATCGAGTGCCGCCACTCTGCAGATTACAGCTATGTTAGGTTCATGCCTGAGAACAAGGGGTCCAACATCCAGATCAGAGTTCTAGAATTTCAAAACTGAAATAATGTACCAGTGGAAGAGAAGTTCAAATATGTTTTCCATTTTGTGATTTCTCTCTATAGTAAATTATACCAAGTTTTACATTTTCCCCTAAGTTTTTCAGTAATTTTCTATTAGCCTCAAAAATTGTTATTACACATAAAAATTTGAGCTACAAGTAAACATAAATTTTAAAAAGACTTGAAGACCTTTATTTTATTTCTTTTGTTTTAAAAACTGTATTCAAGAAATAATATGTTACTCAACAGAGGTATCTTTCCTTCTAAGGAAATAATGTGAATTTTCAGTTTTATAAAATCATTGAGGTAAGGTACTAACTGGCTTATTTCTTTGGCTTCTGTAGCAATTTTCCTTTGTACATAATTTTGTTTCTGCTTCTAATAGTTACTGTGATAAAAAGAGAGACCGTCTTCTTATGTGAATAATCTAGTCCCACGGAAAGTCCTGGCTTAGTTTTCAAGGCCAGTGTTCTGTCGTGTGTTGGCCACATTTAGAGTCTGAAAGCATGTGGCCTTGCCTGTCACTCACTTTCTGCTCTGCTCCTGCCCAGGACTGAAGGACCTGAGTATTTCCCTCTAAGCTATTACTCAAATTCTAGTTCTAAGATGATCAGCTCCATCTGGAACAGGAACAGCTATTCCACTCCATCTTGTTGTCTGGTACCTTGAAGATATAATAGGGAGAGTGGTTCTTGATAACCTTTTACCTAAAGATTCAGTAAAACTCACAGGAATATTTCCAAGCCTGAACCTGCCCCAAGTAAAATTGTGTGTTGGGGTCTTTGTGCATGTGTGTGAGTGTGTAGTTCAGAGGTGCATGTTTGGCACCTTTCTTGAGACTGCACTCCACTTAGTTTCTGAGACAGGGTTTCTCACTGAAGCTGGAGCTTGGTGGCTAGCTGCTAAGTCTAGGGACTCTCTTATCTCTGCCTTCTCAGCCCTAGGCTTACAGGCACAAACATAGATGCAGGCAATCATCTACACATATAAAAATTAAAATAAAAAATCCTTAAACCCCCTCAAATCTACAACTACACAACCTCTCCTCATATTCTTCACACATTACCATGTAGGATTAGTTTGTTAACACAAGATTAGGGTTGGGGACATGGTTTAGTGGGAAAAGGTACTTGCTGTCAAGCTGCCTGATGACCTGAATTGAATTCCTAGACCCTTTAGCGTGGAAAGAAAGAAGTGATTTCTTGTAAATTATTCTTGTATTTCCATAGGGATGCTTGAACAATACATGTGTGTATGCATGCACACACAGACACATACGAAATAAACAAATGTAATACCAAAAAATTTTCTTATCATTTCTATCTGAAATGAAAAGTTAGTAAAGCTTACTAGGTTTTTAAGAGGAGGAACCTGACCACAGAGTATCAGATAGTTCACAAAGAACAACCAGAAGTCAAGTCACTGAGTCTGATTTTAAAAATATTATGGGATATATCAATAAACCAAAAGAGATACCGTTACCAAAGGCAATGTGTGGACTTAAGAGATGCCACTACCAAAGGCAATGTGTGGATTTTACTTGGGGTCCACTAAAACGATAGTAGAAAAGTTATTTTTAGGCACATCTGACTATAAACTGGCTGTTAGGTGCTATCAAAGAATGATGAGTAATTTTTTTGAGCACAGAGATACCACTGCAAGTGCTTCTGAGTGACTGTGTGGTTGGGGCTAGCTAATATTGACAGAAATCAAAGTGTAAGTAAGTTTAAATGAAGTAAGACTGGTAAGATGTTAGTAATTGTTGAATGCCGATACACACACACACACACACACACACACACACACACACACACACACAGATAGATACATAGAGAAACAGAGAGAAAGAGAGACAGAGGTTCCATAAGCTACTGTCTTCAGTTTTGTCAGAAGAAAAAAACTGTAGAGCAGAAGGCAAGTGAAGAGAGACTGGTGAACAGAAGTCTTGTTCAATGTACAACATCAACACAAAAAAAATGAACAAATGGGGTCAGAACCAAAAATTCACAAAGGGAGACATGAACAAAAATATTATTTTACAAATCATTAAAAATGCAATAGTGGCAAGGAAATACTGCCAAGATGCACCATAAGCCACAGCAATGTGGGGACTTCTTGCAGACTGAGTACAAGGAGGCATGCCATCTTTGTGGTTACAAGCTACTACAGAACTGTGGAACCACAAGTCTGAACAAACCTGTACATAAGACTGGATGTCTACACATGGTACAACAGCTCTTGTCACCCACAGTAGTGCTAATTTCTGAAGTCTTGACAAGTAGAGTATACAAACAAAGACAAGATGAGAGTGGGCTGGCAGCCATAGAACAGCTAGGGAAAACCGCCCCTTCCTTACAGAAGTACCTCATACTGTTAGTAGGTCTACAGAATTTCTATTAAAGAGAAAGTTTTAAAATAGTTTGGATTTTGGATCATGATTTAGATTTTTATGGATCATGATAAATTATTTAAAATTAATTTTGAGCATATCAAAGTGACACTTCAGTTTTAACATACCTCTGATCTGTAGCTTGCTGCTCTCGAAGCTGAAGAAGAGATAACTCAATTTCATTTTCTTTTCTCTTTAACTGAGCTTTCAGGATCTCTGCCAAGTGCTCTAATTCTTCTATCTGGCCTCTCTGTGACTGAATAACATTTTCTCTGAAATAAAGAGTCTTCATAAGAATCTGCAGTTTGAGGAGAAATTTGTAGTACTTAAAGTTTGAGTAAAGATGGGTTTTTATTATAATATAGGGCAAGCAAAAGTTAATAAAATGGCTTTATTCCCTTTGCATAGAGTGAAATAGCGACAGATCCCATGTGATGATTGGACGACTCACAAGATGGCCTTTAAGATACTGCTCTAGGCAATGGACTTGACTGTGGTTGAACTTAGTTCAGTATGTACTGATCATCTGCTGGATACTTTACAATATAATTCAGATGCCTTGCTCTTCTGTATGTGCACAACTGCTGTATCACTCAACTAATACTTCAGAGAGCAAGCATGAAACATGCAAACATAACTAGGGTTTCCAGCATGCCTCACCTCTCCCTTGTCTGGCAGCATCTCAGTACAATGAGCCTTGGGAGACTGCTATGAACCCTAGCTTTTCACTTGATTATCTAAGAATGAGAAAACATTTAGTCTTTTATTTCCTTACAGGTTGACTGCTAGTGTGACTGGTATTTAAAACACACAAAAGAAAACATTTCCAATCTGTATCATATTTTTCTTTGGTAGTGTTCTAAGGTTGATACTCTTAGTGTGATACTTTCTTTCCTTATTTAATGTTCTGAAGATCCAGGTGAAGGCTTATGGATAAGTTCATTTGTACAATGCACTGAAACCACTAGGCACTGATGAACTAGAAAAAGCTGATGAATGTGTCAGAAGGAATGTTTCTGAGACCATGACATGATGAAGAATTCAAGTCTCACAGCAGCACAGGAAATCCAGAGCTGAAATCCATGTCTATCAGATACTCCCAAACTTTCAAGGCATTCCTCTCAAAGCCTCTGTTCCCAAAAGGGGTTGAGTCAGAATCTAAAATATTATCTGTAACTTCTTGGGAATGAAGATGTTGTCTCTAAGTTGGGTGGTGGTGGTGGCACATGCCTTTAATCTCATCACTTGAAAGGCAGAGGCAAGTGGATCTCTTGAGTACGAGGCTAGACTGGTCTACAGATGAGTTTTAAGACAGCCAGAGCTACTTAGTAAGACCCTGTCTGAAAAAAAGAAAAAGAAAAAGAAAAAGAAAAAGAAAAAGAAAAAGAAAAAGAAAAAGAAAGGGAAGGGAAGGGAAGGGAAGGGAAGGGAAGGGAAGGGAAGGGAAGGGAAGGGAAGGGAAGGGAAGGGAAGGGAAGGGAAGGGAAGGGAAGGGAAGGGAAGGGAAGGGAAGGGAAGGGAAAGGAAGGAAAACATTGGCTCTAAAGCTCTAAAGCTGGGACTGCTTGCAGTGATGGGACTTTAGGTTACTCCTTTGGTGGTAAAATTAACAGAAATCCTGCTATCAGCTAGATAAACTATCCACTCCCCATATTTTACTGAGAACAAGTCATATAATGGCTGACATTACTCCATAGAACTATCCGTATTTTACTAAAGCAAATTATTTATACATACTCTGATTTTGTTTACAATAAAGGAGAAGGAGGGATCAAAATAAGACATAATCAATATACAAAGTTCTAAAATGACCATAAAAAAGAATACATACAAATTTCTTATTTCTCCTCTGGCTTCTTCAAGTAAACTATTGCTGTATTTTGTGAGCGTGGGTTGTACAGTTTCTGCTTCATCTACATTTTGAAATCTTATACCTAAAAATAAAGTAGTAAAGTATTATGGAAAGAAAGTTAGAATAGACAGATCCTTGATTTGCTATAAGTATATTTATAATAAACACTACATATGTTCTTACAAAGAGAGGCAGAAGTGCAGGCTAAGGGGACATGAGCCCTCAGCTACCAGCAAGGAGTACCTGAGACATAGCAAAAGCACTGTCCACCCAACAACCCTGCTAACGAAACCATCTAGAAAGAAATCAATACATTATGGCATTTAGAACTTCTATCTCAACTTCTAAAAACTACCATTTTTAATTTAGGGATTCATAATAAAAAACAAGGACATATGGAGGAAATAATTCAACCTAGTATAAAACCAAATACTACTGTTGTACTAAAGGAACGTAACAATGAAATAACTTCCTACTGACTTTCTACTACACTACACTCATAGATTGTATATATGCTCAGTCTTCATCAGAGAAGCTTCCTCCTGCAGCAGATAGGAACAAATACAGAGAGCCACAGCCAGACAACAAGCAGAGAGAGACCTTAGAGTATTCAGTGACAGCACAGCACAGCACATGATACTGGGGGTCACAGGACAATTTACAAGCCAGCTATCTCCTTCCACTTTATGGATCTTGGTGACCGGTGGCCGGACACAGGCTTGGGGGCATGCGCCATCTCTCCAATCCCTTTTTGGTGTTTTGGATAGTCTGTTTTTTATAGTGGTCTTCTATATTTTATCATAAACATCTCTTGATCTTACACCCTTAATTTGTGTCATACTGCTTTGCTTATTCAACCTCAATAAGAAAATCTATCTTCTAAAAACAGCAATCTGAGGGCAAATCAACAGTAAGATCCCTTATAATAAGGTATACACTTGGGAGGCTGAAACAGACAGACATTTAAGCAGAGAAGTTTGAGCCAGCCTGGGCAACAAAGGCAGACATTTATCTTAGAGGAAGAAAACATTATATGAAGTTTGACAAGGACAGTCTACTTGTTAAAAGTCAGACATACTTTTAATTATGTGTGATACTTTCTAGTTCTAGGATCATTAGAATTTAAGAGAAAAGAGCAACAAATAATGCAGACTTTCAGTGGAGACTGGACCGAGATCTGGTCCAAGACTGGCACAGAAAAAACTCTCTATAGAAGAGTTTACCTTTTCAAAATGAGAAATTTCCCTCTGTTGGGTTGAGAGATGAAGACAGACCTCACTCACTCACCCTTCCTGATACAGTCATTAGCTACTGCCGTAACCTACACCGATGAAAAGGAGAGACTCTGCTTAAAACACTACAGACTTCACTGTGCTACAGCTGGCCAGTTATATACAAGGCTATAATAATACTAACGCTTAAGCTTTCCCTATATAATCATGGGAAAATTCAAAATTAGCAGTGGAACTAAAAGACTATGCTCAAAAATATGTCAAAATTTGGTTATTAATTAGTAACGGTGGTCATTATATCTGATGAATGGTTATTACATATCCTTTTTAGTTTTGAGATGACTGTCCAGGATGGCTTCAAATTCCACATCCCCTTGTCTTAGTCTTTTAAAGAATAGTTCATCATCATCACCACCACTACCACCACCACCACCACCACCACCACCACCACCACCACCACCACCCATGTTCAAAATGCCTACTTTTGCCTGTGTGTGTTCCATGTGTATCATGGCACTCACAGAGGCCAGACAGGATGTTAGATACCCCGGAACTGGAGCTATAGACAGTTGTGAGCTGTCATGTGGGTGCTGGGAATGGAACCCAGGAAGAGCAGCCAGTGCTCTTAACCAATAAGCCATCTCTCTAGCCACTTGCTTCAGTCTTAAGAGTATTAGGTGTTGGATTACAGGCTTGTACCACGCCTAGGCACTAATGACTATATTTTAAAGGCATATGTATTTACGAACGTTTTTGCTTCAGTGGTTCTTCACAGTAAGAGCTGTGTTCACATAATGCCAATCGCACCTGAACCGACGCTTGCCATCATGTCTTCTGTGTGCAAGCAGAGGATAAGGGTGCTCCACAGCTGTTACAGGGTCTCCTTTGTCTAGAGGGAATCTGGGCTACAGCCCCACTGCAACCTAAAAATCAGGCTCCTGTCCCAGTGCCAAAGGCAGTCTTGAAGAGTGAATGTTTAAGATTAATGCTGGGAATGGCACCTCGGGTTTACTCACAGGCCATGAGTAAGTATTCATCACCATTTAGACACAGTGTGTGATTTCTGTGTCCCAGACTTTACACATGGGGAAGTGACTCTAAATCACAAAGAGAATACAAGTACAGGAAGATATTTAAATTTGTAAGTTGTGTTTAAAGACTGATGCTCTATGGATCATTTTAAAAACAAATATTTTTTAATAGAGGGGAGGGTAAACTGATCGCTTTGATTTGAACAGTAATTAACACAAATAGCTTGTCATATCAATTTAAAATTTGGGCATAACTTTTATTTAGCATGAAAGACCTGGCAGCCTTCCCATATCACCTCATCCAACAATATTTCTAGATGAGAAAACTGAGGTTCAGAGAGGGTGTGACTTTAAGGAAATGTCCCTAAGTGAGGAGCTCCTGCTTTCCTTCTTATCTAACCTGACATTATTATCGCTCCATTTTATAGATGGGGAAAATGAGGCTGAGAGGTCAAGGGCTGACTTGATATAAAGGACAATTCGTGGCAAAGTGTGTGTTTTCTGATTTATAATTCTCTGTGCTCACTTTGATTATATCCAAAGGCTACCGCAATCTCACACTGCTGGCAACAGCTAAGCCCTTTCATCCTGCAGCTGCCTCCTGTCTGTGTGGAGGCCATACTGACTTCAAAGGCACACTATCTAGGGAAGAGACAGTGTTAACATTTTGCCTTGGAAAAGAAAACTATAACCCCCCTGCCACCTCCTTCTGTTCATATGGTGTTTCCTCTTTCCTCAATGAATTATAACGAACTAAAGGCTTACATCATTTTTTTAATATTACAAAAGATGTTGGCTGTTTCTGTGAAGCATATTCCGAACAAAATCAATTAGAGTGAAGTTTCTTTCTTTCTCTAGGAGTAGCATTTTTAAAAAGCAACTTAACATATTTATGTGCTTTTAGTTTCAATTTAATAAGTTCTTCTGAGGATGGGAAGAATGGGGGCTTGGTGCCTAAATTCGTTTGGTCTGTGATATTGATTTGTAATATAGGAGGCTTTACCACATTCTTTCCAGTGTGAAGAAATCGATGCCATAATTATTTTAGAGATGGATAAGGCCTTTATAATCACTGGCTTGTGCTTTGTACATGTAAAGGAAACTGCAAGTCACCAGAGGTGGTTTGTCCTCCTTCTCTAGCTGCAGAGTGCGGGTGTAAGAAACCAACTGTATATGCCTATTATTGGGTTTGTTACTGTGTTACTAAATAAGGTGGAGTGACCTAGGGATTGACTCCTGAATAAAACCATCCTTGTTACAGCACTATGATCTGACAGAAAGCAGCCTCAAACTGTCCCAATTCCTTTTGAAGACACGTAAAAACACGAGTAAGAAACAAAGCTGTGCGTGTCAGTGGGCCACAGGCTCAGACTTAAGTCCAGGGTTTGTCGAAAGCATTACCTTTCCCAGGGCATTCCTGCAAGCCTGCACTGGCACTTGATTTCCTGCGGCCGGTGTTAATGCGAGCCTGCACACGACTGTACGATGTCTGCCTGTGTCCCTGGACCTGGAGCTGCTGTTTGGCTGATATTAGCCTGTTTTTGAGAACTTCATTTTGTCTTTCAAGCTCATGAACTTTTTCTTGCAGCTGCTCAATCATTTCTTCCATTTCCACATCTCGTCCCAGCCGCTTGGGGCCGCCACCAACCCGCTCAGATCTTTTCTTGTCATTAACTAGCCGTATTAACTTGGTGGCCATTCTAGGGAAATAATAAAAAGATGAAAAGGAATGTGAGAAGTGAGCATAAAATGCATTCTGTTGAAAGGAGCATAATCACTGTGAAGACTTCAGTGCAGAACCTGAGTAATAAATTTCAGGTTTTGATGTAACTATTACTGCCTGTGAAGAATCCTTTGATGATAATTGAAACCACTGGGCAACAATCTGCTTTATAGCACTGACAAATAGCAGTTTCCTAAGGCTTATCATTTAAGGTTAGTAAAGAGAGGACACATATTTACCCCATATGTTCCAGAAATGCAATTTTTAACGCATGACCTTATATAGGAACGCTGGATGCACTTAAACATAGTCACAGAGTGTGGATGTGGTAGGCTGTCTCTACAACCCACAGTGAGCTAGAACTTTTGGAAAGTGAGCTAAAATTATGCAGATTTAGGTAGTATAGTATCTTATCCTTCTATAGGATTAAGACAAGGAAACACATAAAAATGATGGAATTTACAGATGGACACATATAAAATCCAACAGAAATTTCAAAAGAAACCAAAATGTGACCCTAGATGTTGATTAGTGCTCAACAAATGTTTGTGTTTAATTTCCAAAAAAACATTATATGCAAAAAATATTATCTTAATGATACTTAAGGTTTTTGACATAAATTGTTCTCCTGACATCTCAGGAACTTCTACCTTTGACTCTTTTCCGTTTTTGATAAAAACTGGTCAGACAGAACAAAAGGCAGAGCGGGCACATGGGGTGATGTAATATACACGCATGGAAAACATGCCTGACAATGAATGGAAAAATCTTGGCAGGACAAGAAAGAAAAGGTGGCTTTGATGAGAGACACAAGTTCAAGACTTTACAAAATTGGTCGCACATCTTCAATAGCTGATTCTAGTTTATAGTGAATCTATTTTTATAAAGACCCAGACAGGAGATTGGAAATAAAAACACACTACATTTTTCTTTAAGTGGGGTTTGCTTTATTTTAGCATGGTTATGGACAGAAGCTTTTACTTAAGGGAACAAAAGTGAAATAAAAAAAACCCTTAATAGCTTTGGGATGTCACAGAACAACATTTCCCCCCAAGCAGAGTCTTCTGTAAATGCGGTAGTAATACATGTCTACCTACACTTCTGGCTACCCGGCTACAGCATGTGGCATCAGGGAGGGCTCTGCATAACAAAATCAGTGAAGATTGTTTTCTCTTTCCCTTGAGGCACATCCACTAAGGATGCTTTATAAGGATATTGGATAATAAAAACCAAGATCCAAGAGAACCACAAACATCCTAGTAAAATAATCAGTGGATTACTTCCTTTCCTACCCAGTCCAGTAGATGATATGTCATTGGAAAATCTGACCAGGTATCACCATCCAGCAAAACCACAGGCTTCCTTGCCCAGGAATTAATGAGTTTAGAGTCCTGTGCCCTATTCAGTGTCCTATCGATAAAAATCAGATATTCATCCAAATGAGAAGACACTTAAATATTTGAATACTTATTACAGGAAGGTTAGCACTTAGAAACATAGATTGCATTAAAGAGAAAGGTCCAGATTTAACATAAAGACAAGTCATCTGAAGAATGAGGAATGATTTTAATAGATAGTGATAGTGTCTTCAAGTTCTTGACATCATGATGCTCAAGTAAACTTCACAGAAGACACAAGACTACATGTGCTTGTTTAGTCAGAGAATCATTTTCATTTGTTTAAGTTACTAATGAATTGCAAGTCATCTAGTGAGATTTGAGTATTTAAAAAGGGAATTTATAAAAATTTGTATTTATACAAAAGATGATGCTAACTCACACCTTAAGGATAGATCAATGCATGGATCTAGGCCAGTGTCAATGAGGTAAGGCTGAGGAAGCATTTAGAGCTATAGGCCAGTGTTCAGTGGGTAGGTACTCCCATAGCCTAATAAAGTCTCAGGGGAGTAAATGGCCTGAGCACAGGACAGTGGGAGAAAGAGACTAGAACACATATACAACTTGACTCCTAGTGCAGTCCCCCTCCCCATTAAACTATGTGGCTCATTAATAATTGTTTTTACTTTTTGGATAGGACAAATTACTAATAAGGTCAGATTGTAAATTCCATTCTTTTACTGACCAATTAGGTATCTAAAGAAAAAAAAGTTTAGTGATCACAGACTTCATATCTCGTTCTGTTTGGTAGACCTGAGTGTGCTATTGGCAGAAATGAATCAGGCACATCCTACAGATAGCAATTTCTATGTCTTAAAACCAACTCCAAGTAGAAGGCTTGTACCTGGCTGGCTGGTGGGTTTGAAAACAGCCTAGAGAATAGAAAGTGAAGTGGAATCACTTTTGTACACTACATTCTAAGCAGGAAGCCATCTCCTTCCTTAAGTGGCTATGTTCCTTTTCCTTTGAACCTAGAATGTGAGCACAATACAGAGGTGTGCACACTTCTGTCTCCAATGCCAGGCACCCAAAGGATGGGCACAGTATTTCTGAGTAAAATAGAATTAAAAAGAAACTACACTGAAAACACCATTCTTGCCTACATATTTTACATGTCCATCAAAAGTGACAATGTGTGTTTTCAAAAATGGTAGAGCCTGTTTGAAATAAATAAAGAATCAAGACTAATCCAAGTGAAGTTAAACATGACTCAGACATAAGTGATGTTTTCATTAGTAAATCCCAAATCATAAGGAAACACACATTCTAACAAGTTGCAATAGTTAATTACTTTTAAATTTTTTATGACATTAAAAAAACCAGATGCTTGGCTATCTGCTTATTAAGTCATAAATATTAACCCAAAAGTTATTTATAGATCTAATACACTCATGGCACTCTTAGCTATGCTCTTTCAAATGGTAACTTCAGACATAATAAACACAATCCTCTTGGTTTATTATTCTACTTTGTAAGATTTTCCATTTTTAAAAAATTCTATTTATTTATAATCTGCTCGTTCCAGAAAAGATTGAAGGTGGGGCTTTCAATTAAGTTTATAAAAAACTATATCCTTCAAACTTTACAGAGTTAAGAAAAAAAAAGCTAAAAGCTTTTTATCATAACCTTTTAATTTTATCCTCTTGCTTGCGGGCATGCTGTTTAAGTAAAATGTTCTCATCATGCAAACGCAAAAATCTGTCTTCCAGTTCTTCACGACTGACACGTGACACTGCCTGGCGAGCCTTTATTGTGCGTGCAGCTGAGGTTTCTGAAAAAATGCCAAGGTAATTAATTGTAGCATCACTTAAAACAGTCTCTGAAACCTGATAACTGTTGATATTAAAATAATCTCTGATGCATTCCTACTTTGCATACTTGTTGCTTTTCCTATGTTTTGGTTTTCTGAGACAGGATTTCATGTAGCAGGGGTTAGCTTCAAACTGGCTCGAATTCCTGACCCTCCTGCCTCTACTTTCCAAGTGCTGGGATCACAGGCGTGCATCATCACACCCAAATTTCTCTCCTTTTGACCTACAAATTAAGTTGTATTTTTTTTTTTTGGTTTTGTTTTTTAGAAAACTGTTCATGCCAACAACCTTCGGTGAGATCTTTGTGATTAATGCTTCACATACAGTATTAGGGATCTGAGCAATGCTTTATTCACAAGTGTGGACTTGATCACTTTTCAGAATATAGGAGGGAACTGGGTCAAGAGATTTCCTATTCCTATTCTGAGTGCTATAAAGCTCACAGTTAGAAGAGCCAGACTGTCCAGTCTGGGAATGCAGCTCAATAGGACAAGCACGTGCCTAGCATGTGCAAGGCTCAATAACTAACATGGCAGCAAGAAGTCGTCTTTGTATCTGAAAATCTGTATGTATTTTTGACAAGAGACAAAACTGGAACGTTCAGTAAACATAATATTTTTAGGACATTTTATTTTTTCTGAGCTAGGGAGCTAGGATATAGAAAAATAAAATGTAAAAACAAATACAAATTCCCCAGAAATAAAAGAAAAATCTAAAACCTGTGATTTGAGAGTTTCTTTTTTTTTTAAAGATTTATTTATTTTATTTATATGAGTACACTGTAGCTGTCAGACACACCAGAAGAGCGCATCAGATCCCATTACAGATGGTTGTGAGCCACCATGTGGTTGCTGGGGATTGAACTCAGGACCTCTGGAAGAGCAGTCTGTGCTTTTAACCACTGAGCCGTCTCTCCAGCCCTGATTTGAGAGTTTCATAGATCATTTCTCTATAAGCTGTTTAATATATTGAAACTTAACTTTTTGACCTGACATAGTGGCATATACTTTTTAAAAAGTCCCAGCACTCAGGAGACAGAGGCAGGCAGAGATCTGGGAGTTCGAGCCCAGCCTGGTCTATATAGTGAGTTCAAATGCCAGCAGAGTATACAAAGTAAGACACTGTCTCAAAAACCAAATCAAACCAATCCCAACCCAACCCAACCCAACCCAACCCAACCCAACCCAACCCAACCCAACCCAACCCAACAAACTTCTATAACTTTTAAGTATATATACATATTTAACTTCAATCAATATTAAAGACTGAGGATGGCTACTGATGATAAGGATTAGACTTTACATAATACCAAAACCCAATCTTAAAACACTTCAAATTTATTTGTATTTGAATACCTGACACTGGTTCCATTATCTAAATCTAAGCCCAAATATCCTTCCTTTTAATAATAGGTAAGGTCAATTTGTTCTCAATGAACCATACTCTTACTACCTTCCTAAGATACTTAAACCTGGCCCCAGACATTGTCATAATTAAAAGGTGTATGTAGAGTTCTTATGGTACATTTTGAACCCCAGTCTTCTACAGGCAAGGTTAGTGGCATAGGGGTTTGACTGGCTTCCTCACAAACATGAACCTGGCTCTCCAGTCTATGTTGTTCCTTAAAGCAGTGCTTTGCTTTCTCAGTTGAAAATACTCTTCAGCTCTATAGGAACAAGTAAATGCTAAAAGGATAAAGAAAGCCTTTAATGTATATTAATGTGGTTGAAAACTCACTATCACTTGCATAAACAGGCCATTTTGAGATACTCTACTTGAAAGGCAAAAATTTTAAAATATGGTATTTCCTCCCATATAAAATTTAAACATAAAGAAGTGTTTTAATGGTGAATGTGATTTAAACCAGGCAATTCGGTTTGGAGGCCTGATACTCTGTGCAGTTTCTACTGATGTGTGGAATTTTAAAAAGATGATTTATAACAACTCTTTATCAGAACAGAGGGGGATCTTGCATTTGCTATGAGCTGTTGATAATTGATGCTCGCAGTAAAATACCATATGTGTTTTAAACTCTCCCCCTTGTTTAGTCCAATCAAGAGCTATATAGTTACTTAAATGGCTGGCTTTGTATGACTATCAGAAATACTTTAAATTAAAAGTAAAGAAATTACTGATCAAAGTTCATAACTGTAATAAATAACAGGTGGCCAAACCTTGTAACCCTCCAACTCCAAAGAGGTTTAGACCTGTATCTTTCACCGGCAGGTCTCCTGCTGTCTCGTCACTTGGGCCAGACATGGCCTATCTGCGGAGAAAAGAAAATTCAAACAAACTCTTCCTAAGTTATTGCATTAACTATGCAATGGAACGAGCCAAATAAAGTGACTAGGAAACTAGAACTTTAATGGACATGTTATTGCCCACATGTGCCGCCTGAGCAAGATAAAAGGTCCCCTTCTAGAAGGAACACTGCATCCAATCATGAGGACTGTCTTCTCTGAGCAGAGCATTTCCTACAGTTCTCTTAGGAAATGAGCTAAGATTATCACTCTTCCTTTCCTTATTCATCGCTCTGAAACAAATCCAAACCCTTCCGAAGTTAAGAAATACTTCTACCCCTACTCCTTTCCTTAAAGAGAGCATGAATTCTAGGGACAAAAAAAAAAAAATCCAAACAAAAACCAAAAACAACAAAAACAAAACAAAACAAAAACAAAACAAAAACCACAACTGAGGTCTGTACTCAAGCCAAATGGTTTGTTCTACCATCTCAAAGTTGGTCAAGTCATTAAGATTACCTAATTTTTAAAACAAAACAAATTATACCCATCTCATAGTTATTCTAAAAGCACATGAGACAGATACAAACTAAAGGCATTTAGCAAATGTGCTGAGGATGTCCAGAGTCTAGGAATGCTCACTGACTGCATGATGTGCAAATGAAAGGCTCCTTCTAAGCTCAGCGAAGGAGGCTCCATGTGACCATAGTGTGATTTTTTTATTGTACCCCTCCTTTGTTACTTCATGTAGGTTCCAGGGATTAGCTACCTCAGCATATGGCTTGTCTGGATTGTTCTAGAACTTTTAGTTTCTTTTCTCTATAGAGACATACTACAGTAACTTAGTTTTGTATGTGGACATGAATATACAGTGTATAGTAAGCAAATAAATAAATAAATAAATAAATAAATAAATAAATAAATTCATTCTCGATTTCCATTTTGACCTTCCTAGAAAGGCCTAGATGTAAACTGTTAGTGATGTGTCCTTGTAAGGAAGAGACTTTCATGTTCTAGAATGTTGGCTATAGAATGTGAAGACCAGGAAGTTAGAATACTTGTTCATCTTGTTCACCTGTGTCTCAGAAGCTGGCACAGAGTGTGGCACGCTCAGTGAGCAGCATTTATTAAATAGTCACGGATAAGGGGAGCTCTTGGATTTCAGTGTCTGAAAACTGAGACTTGGCTGTGTAGATGTGCATGAAGTCTATCTCTTAGAGAGAGGGTCCAGAACTTTGACTGGAACTCATGATGGGCGGAGAACCACTGCTAGTGGCAAATGTCTCAAAGAATGACTACAGAAGGTGATGCTAACACATACTGCTCATCATGCTTACAGCGTGCATAAACAATGGCTACCCAAATGGTTCCTGTTATACGAACAGATGCAAAGACAAGCCGGCTCAATTGCTCAAGGTCATTCACTCAGGAATTAGTTGTTTCCTGATATTTCTAGTTATCATGACTGGGAAGAAAACTCTTACTGGCCTGAAGTAGGTAGATGTCCCAGTGAATTCTCCCTCCTTGCTCTCTATGGTCTGCATACACTCAGCTCTGCTTTCCTCACGTGCAGTGCTTTGATCTTGCTGCAAAGGCTCTTCTTTAGCTGTCTCCTCATACTTCAGAGCTCAGCCCAATTGAACCTTCCTTAGATAAAGCTTCCCTTACTGTTTTGTGTTTTCTTCCTGGTTTCTAACTTTTCTTTTTCAAGGGACGCTTATGCAGTCTAGGCTGACATAAAATTCACCAAAAACACTAAACACATTGCCCTCAAATTCTCTATTTTTCTCTCTTTCTTTCCTTCTTTCTTTCTTTCTCTCTCTCTCTCTCCTTCCTTCCTTCCTTCCTTCCTTCCTTCCTTCCTTTCTTTCTTTCTTTCTTTCTTATATAAGATCTCACTATGTAAACCTGGCTGGTTTACATTTGCTACTTCTGGAGTGCTATGACATAAGTCAAGAGCCACCATGCTCTGTGTAGACTCTGAATTTGTCCTGAGTGTGCCACCACCCTGCTGTGGCTTATTGCTTACATCAACAGCCTCTGTCATTACCCCAGAGTTGTTTAGTAATTCATTGTCTTGGAATTCATTTTTAACCTAGCACATTATATTTTCACACCTATATCATAGTTTCTTGCTTGTATCTGTTCCCCTACTGCCCCACCTCCATCTCTCTAGCTTCCTCTTATGGGTCTCCTTCCTCCTCCAAAAAGTCCCCCTTCTGCTATCTGATGTCACATAGTGGGCATCAATGCTATCATTTGTTGAATGAATACATGAATGTCAGGCACTGAGTTTAAACAAAGTCTTTGCCCTGTAATGCTTTAACAGACTATGGGAGGTAGTCGGATGGAAAACAGTAGTAAAGAATAAAGATAGGCCATTAGAAACTGACTGTGGTGGTAGGAACTTGAGATAAGACCTATTATTGAATTCAAGACCAGCATGGGCTAAAAACCTAGTTTAAAGCCAGTCTGGGATACATAGGAAGACAGATTCCCCTTTTAAAAAAACTACAATCAGCAACAACACCAGTAACAACAACAACAACGACGACGACAACAACAACAACAAGCCCCCTGGGAGGCTTAGGTTCTACCATCCAATCCCAAATCCTAGGAAATAGAGCGAACTGTGACTGTGACCTTCGAGGTGTAGGACTTAGGGTTGCCAGCTAGGTTTCTGGTTGGGCAGGCGGTCAGGGTGGACTGTGGTGCAGGCCTGAGTATGTGGAGGTGTGTCGGGATGGACTGCTTTTTCACGCAAGGATCCCAGGTCTATCCCGGGCTTCGGAGCAGACTCCAGGCCCTCAGCTGCGAGGCAGAGGAAGGGCCAGCCAACCTGCTTAGCCCCCACCTCACAGGGTACTCACCTCCGCGTTCGCCCTCAGCTAGCTACCGTTGCTATGGCGCCCAAGGCGCGAGCCTCTGCAGGCCCAGAGGAGCACGGGAAAACTACAAGTCCACTGGGAAATGTAGTTTTCCGTAGGCTCCCGGCCGTCGGCTGGCTGACTGGAGAAATTCTGCTCAGAAGCCCAAGGAGTTCTCGGGAGTCTCGCGGAGCATTCTGGGAGAGGTAGTTCTTCTAGGTATTCGAGAGGATGGCGCCAGGCGGGAGAGAGCCGTTGAGAGAACTACACACAGGAGGCGGGGTCCAGGGCGAGGGCGGACACGGCCCACAGTGGCGAAGGCGGCTTTAGTAGCAGCATGAAGCGCGTCCAGACCGCGGAGGAACGAGAGCGGGAAGCTAAGGTATGTGGAGCTCCCGATAGCTAAGATTCTGCGTTAGTCTGGGGCTAAAGGCAGGGAACCCGAGGACCCGCTGAGATGGGTGAGTGGATGCTCGGCGTTAAGCCAAGGGATGTCAGGGCCTTGTTTGCAAGAGACCTGCAGACGTGGTGTGTGTGAGTGTGCGCGCGCACGTCTGAGCTGTAAATTCGTATTGCTCTGGATGCAGATCTGGATACAGTTAGACTTGGTCAGAAATGAAAAGATAGACATCTATGTCCGTGTCCTGCTTCTGTACCTATTCCTTGGCTATATTTGTAGCCACTCTCGTGCCTCAGTTTACCACCTAAGATTTTTCAGCTCGAGAGCAACTGAGGTACAGAATCTGTATGGTGACATGTTTTTATCTGGAGCATTGCCTCAATGGCCAGATGACTCGTCTGCGTGGTCAGCACATCAAATACGCTTTATAAAGCTTCTGTGGATAGTACATTCCTTGCTGTTCAGCTTTCTGACAGTGGAATTCCATGGGATGACAGTAATCACAGCAACAGCGACTTATTTGCAGCAATTTTTGTATCGGACACCTACATTAAATGCATAATTATTTCCTATCATTGCAGCAGATAGCAAGACAGATATTACATAGGTAGAGTACAATCTACTTTGAAGATGAGCACTGAAAGCTCAATGTTTTCCTTTAACCCATTCCCGAAGTTGAGACCTACTGATTTGTCCTATCTTATAAGCATTCAGTTCACTTTTTCATTTCTATTACCTTGAGTGAAATTACCATGGTCACTTCAGTGAATTGTCCCAACGGGCTCCTGGTTGGGCTATATTCACTCTCATGTTAGATCTTCTGGATCCTCCTCCCTCCCCAATCACATGATCCTTCTCCACGCTCTATAGAGAGTGATTTTTCTCTTCAAAATTTAAATCTAGTTATGACCCACTGGCAGCCACCTACTTAAAAGTCTATTAAGGGCCTCTGTTACTTAGGATAAATACAAAACTTCACCCAGCCTTAAAGATCCTGCATGGTTTGGGTCTACTCTGTGTCCTCACAGCCTCAGTGGACACAACAGATTTCTGCTTATCTTAAAAGTTTCTCTTGTCTGTGGCTCGTTTGGTCAAAGGCCTTTGGATATGCAGTTTGGTGTTTATTTTATGGTAGGTAAATATTGGCAGTGAGGATGAGTGGGAAATAAAACAGGTACAGTACTTGCTGTCATAGAATTTTGTCTTGTAAGATTCTTAGGTCAGTAAACCTGAGGATTGAACATTTTGAGTTTTTTTTGTGTGATGACCTGAGTTATGTATTTTATAGACACGGAAACAGAGTCTGGAAGAAGTTGTCCTTTGCTTAGGGCCGTTTGTTTTCTAGGTGGGATTAGGGATCAGAATCAGTTCCTGTGATGTTATAATTGCCTAGCTCTGTTTCTGTGTGTGAAAAACATTGAAATATTGGCCGATACAAAACACAGGTAGCTGTTTTAAATTTTAGACAGTGTCCCAGTAGTCATGAATGATTGTTTGTCATTCTGTTCAGCTAAATTAAGGTATAGTTTATACAGACTATCTTGTAATCATTTGCTGTGAACCATTTGGTAGGTTTCAACAGTGTACATCTATGCAAAATGTTCAAGTTGCATAGAGAACATCTCATTATCTCCTTTAAAAAGTTATTTCTTTACAGTCAGTTTCTTTATATTACCCTCAGGCAGTCGTGTGATCAGTCATGATTGCTGAATCTATGTTTTCTAGAATTGCTTATATAATCGGAAGTATACAATACATACCCTGGTGTCACTTTTACTGTTCAGAATAATTTTTGCCATCTATACACGTCAACACACGTATTATCAAATTGTTCTTTTTCTGTTGCTGAGTAACAGTACATTTTGTGTGATTCCACATTTTGTTTATTCACTCACCTGTTGCTGTGCATTTGGATTGTTACAGGCTTGAGACTATTAAAAAAAAAAAGCTGTGAACAATCATGTTTCTGTTTATACTGGGTAATGCATCCATTTGCGATTTTCTCTGTGTCTAGGCAACACTAATTTTTTTGTTTGCTAGGACTACCTTTTATGGATATTTTGTGTGTGTGTGTGTGTGTGTATGTCTGTCTGCCTGTTGACTGTGTATGTCTATACATATGCATGCAGGTGCATGTGCAGGTGTGTGAAGACCAAAGCTCCACGTTGAGTTTCTTCTTCAATTGCTTTCCACCTTATTTTGAGACAGGATCTCTCATGGAACCTGGAGCTCACTAACTGGGTTAAATTTGCTTGTCAGCAAGCCCTGGAGATCTTCCTGTCTTCACCTTTTCCTGAGCTGGGATTACAGGCATGCACTGCACCTGGCTGGCTTTTCACATGTGGCTAGCGGCAATCCAAACTCAGGTTCTTTTGCGTGTGGCAAGCATGTTATTAACTGAGCCATCTCTAGCCCCAGAAGATTACCATATCAATAGAGTCCTTCCTGTTTGGCTGCTTTCACCCATCACACATGTTCATGCATGCTTAGGTTCATTGATCTTATAGCACTTATCCATACTCCTTCTTACCCAGTAGATGGTATTCCTATTTCTGGACATACCACATTTATGTATTTGTTTGTTTACTTTTTTACTTACTTTTCTTTCTGTTGCTGTGATAGAACATCACAACCAAAAGCAACCAGGGGAGGAAAGTGTTTATCTTATTGTCACTGTCTTGTAATACTTCATCATTAAGGAAAGCCAAGGCAAGAACTCGCAGGAGGAACTGAAGCAGAAACCATGGAAGAACATTGCTTAGTGGTTTGCCCTTCATGGCTTGTGCAACTTCCTTTCTGATAGTGACCATGTGCCCAGGGTGGCCACCCACAGTGGGCTGGGCCCTTCCCATATCAATCATGAGTCAGTTGTCCAAAAAATGTCCCATGAACATGCCCTCTGGTCAATCTGATGGAAGCAGATTCCCTCTTCCCAGGTGACTGTAGTTGTGTCAAGGACATGCCATGCCTGGTGAACAATTTGATTCTATTTTTTTGGCTGTCATGAAAATGGATCCCCTGGACAGCTGTAGGCTAGTTTCTGTATGGACAGGGCAGAGGTCTGGTAGTAGAGCTGCTTGCTAGTCACATTGTAAGACTGCTTAATATTTTAAGAAACTGCCACACAGCTTGCTGCACAGACTGCGCTACCCCACATTGCTTATAGAGGCTTCGAGGGTTAGAATTTCTTCAAGTCCTTGTCATAGCTTGCTACTGTTTGTCTTTTCATTGTCGCCTTCACGGTGACCAGGAGGTAGTAGTTCATTGTGGTCTTCATGTGTATTTCCCTGATGACCAATGATATTATAGATTATCATATACTTAATGAACATGTGCGTATTCTTTTTCGTTCTTGTGTATATGTGTGTGTGGTAAGTGTGTATGGATGTGTTTGCATGCACGTATGGGCATATATGGTAGTGATGCATGCTTGTGAAGCCTGAGGTAGATGTGGGTCGGCTTCCTCTAGCAAACTCTACCTTTTTATCCAGGCTAGGTCTCTCAGTTGAAGCCCCAACTTGCAGATAACAGCTAATATTCTAGCTAGTTTCCTCTGGGGGTCCCCTGTCCTTACTTTATTAGTCCTGAGACTAGAGGCAGAACCCCACTCCTCCTACCTAGCACTTACCTGGCCTCTGAGACTAGGAAGTTCCTTTCTTCACTTCCTTCAGCACTAAGCCATCTCCCAAGCCCCGTGTGAAGTGTGCATTCACACACACACACACACACACACACACACACATACATATATATATATTTTTTTTTTTACTCAGTTTTATTGTTGTTGTTAGCTTATTAAGTTTTATGAGTTCTTTATATTTCCTAGGTATATTTATTGCCTTGGCTTCCTAGTAAGCTGGGATTACAGTCCTGAGCCAGTGTGTTAAGCTTTTGAAATATTTGTCCTGAAGTCACAAAAGTTTCTTGTTTGCTTTTTAAATTGAATGCTGTCATTTCTATAGTAATTACCTTTGTTTCTCCTTTGCTCTTTGTAATAACTTAGGTTATATCTTTTTCACTTGCAGTTGCTTGTACTGTAGACTTTATGTACTTTCTAAATCCAAAGGGAGAAGATCGGACTAAATATCTGGCTTTCCAGCAAAACATCGTTCACTCTGTGTTGATGTATCAGAGTGCACATACATGTATCCATTTTAACATGAGCTTTTCTTGCATTGGCATGGTTCAGTAGTATTTGCCAGATATATTTGGCTGAAGTTACACCGTTGGGCCTCCTATTTCTCTATTAGAATGAAGATTCATACTTGGGGCTTGTGTTTCTCCAACCAGACAGTAGTGCCAAGATTGGATGACTCTCTGGGCAACTGTGAGGCCCCGTTCACTGTGTGTTTGCATGTGTGTGTGAGCATGTATGGCACCTGTATGCATCCATGTGATTGTGCATGTGTGTGACCAAGGGGCAAAGTAGTTGTGGTCTTCTCTGGGTTTGGTTGCTTTTTACCATCTTGGTTAGTTTCAATATCAACCTGAAATATCTGAGAAGAGGAATTGCTTCCATTGGATTGGTCTGTGGGGCATTTCCTAGCTATAGGAGGGCCTAGATCACTGTGCCACCCCTGACTAAATGGGCCAGGGGGAAACCAACCCATTTATAGGGCTCATCTGTGTTTTCTGTTTCAAATTCTTACCTTTGGTTCTTACCGTGGCATCCCTTGGAGATTGACTGTAACGGGTAAGCTGCTTTTGTCTTGGTGTTTATCATAAGAAGAGAAAGCAAACTAGCATACTTTAAAGGATACTGTGCAAGGTACAGCCACACCCCCCAGGGATGAGATGCTCTGGTGCAAGTGTGGAGGAAGGTATAGAAAGCTTTTTTGCCTTCTCCAGCTGTGCTGTTCATGTAACTGCCACATATTCAGTTATTGAGAAGGTCCAGAAACTGGTTGCCATCATCTTCACTGACAGCTTGTTTGGATTTAGGTTCGTGGAGGAGATTGTCTGTGAGAGCAGTTGAAGAGATT